ACAGATCCCAGGAACATCTGAGATAGCTGAGATATTTGTCCAGAAGAGCTATGTCCTAGGAACAGCTATTGCGCAGGACCCTCAAGCTCCCAGGCCTCTGGTAGAGGACCCGAGTTTGAAAGAAGGAAGGGGATTTGGGGGCGCTGCGTGAAGCTGAGTTTTTAACTAGGGGGGACACATTTCGACACAAGACTGTGAAGCAGACGATACAGAGTCACATGACCGAAATGTTAGCATTACATCCCAAGACTATAGCCCAAGATTTAGGAAGAAGTAAAGTCTGTCTTCCTGTAGATATGCCCCCTCCCCGAGTCATGTGTTATGTTGCTTAAGTGAGCACAACCCTGCCCTAACCCCAATTTGTTACAGTTGCTTGTTCCCAGGTCTTGGGATCTAGTAATCTCTAAAAGTACACCCAGTTCTAATTTCTTAAAACAGCAAGTTTGATCTCTTAAACAGACTATACATGTAGATACTGTATTTCTTTTCACATCAGACGGACTGTGTATATATCATCTGCACCGCTCAGCATAGTTGGAACCCGGTAGACACTACGTTGGCAGTTTCACTTCTGCTTTTCCCTCAAAACGACATAGGCTGCCTAATAGAAACAGTTTGACAAACTCAAGAAACAAGGCTATATTAGGTCAAATGGTCTGTATTCCAAAGAGTGATCAAAGGACAAAGAGTATTGTTATTGTTATTATGCTGTTAAATTAATTCTGTAAAAATCATGGTAACAAGACAGTGAAGTCATTATTTATGTAGAGATACTGCTTGCAAACCAATGATGGTAAGATGATGTCATGGGGTAGGACTGGATAAGTCTGACTTCTTCCTACTCTATTCAAGCATGTACTAGGTATAAGTAAATTGATATTGGATTAGCATTTGTTGGATATGTGTAAAATTATGTGTGTTGACATATCAACTGTCTTTACATGCTTGAAAGAATAAATCAAATCAAATCAAGTAATTTTAAATTAACATCAGCAGGCCTATTTCTGGGATAGTAGGCAAAATCATAAATGATAGATACAAGTTTTGTTTTCATGTTAACACTGGATTATATTGCAAAAGCACAGACTTTGCCTTAATGCATGACCACAAATTTTAATATGACATAGTTATTACTTTTATAATAATTTGGAAAGCAACAATAGGGTGAAACCTTGCTTTAATCCTCACCAATCTCTAGGCCTGGTTGTGGCAGCCAGTGAGTGAACTCACTGCTGAACATCTCTGAATTTGAACAGTCAGCACTGAAAGGAGGAAACGCCTTTCCTGACATCAGCAGTTTCTCTTTTTGGATCAGTAGCCTTGAGCTGTACAGTCTTACTAATGTGTTCTGCTTGTCACTGATTTGTGAATTCAGTGTGGTGAGGTCACATGGCCCATTATTTTAAAGCGGTATCTGGTGTGTATAGACTGTGTGATTTACTGTTTGTAGGCTAGTGTCAGTTTGGTTAAGATGACTAAAGTGGCGAAGCCTGTTCTGCCCTGTTTTCTGTCCTTCCTTACATAAAGTCATCACCTCTGGAGTCTGGTCCAAATACTGTATTTCATACTAAAGAACTATGCACCAGCCCAACATATGGCAGTCATGTGCTGTACGTCTTTCCCTCTGCATATCTAAACTCAAGGACATCTGTGTGATTTTCCATGGCTACACAAGACCAAATGTTAAGGCCCAAATAGGCAAATCAGACCTAGGATGAGAGAGAGGACTGAATGTCCTACTTCAGTATTAACATTCCTTCCAGCTATTTGAGTAATCTGTCTAAATTCTTGCAGCCTGTGGTCAAAGAGGCTGTCAGGATTATTACCCAGACTGTTTCTTGCTTTCAGACTTTCATATAGCTCAAATATTGATCTCTTATGGTGTTCCTTCAAGAGATCAGTGCATCTTAGTCCTCTGGCAGGAGATCCACCCTAAATTGTACATGGGGGAAAGGATTAATAATTAATTTAGACTTGAATGACAAATCAAGAGGAAGAACAGATAAGAAAGAGACAGACTGCATCATAATGGAATCAGTTATATGAGATCGTGGCACAAAAGACATAACTGGATTTTTACAGTGTTATCTTATCCAGAGATTGGCTTTCTGAAAAGCACCTATAACGTTGTGTTTGATCTACTTAAGCTACATCAAATAAAGCCAAATTTGCCTTTTGACTGCGATGATAAGCAAATGTCCAGAACATGGAGCAATTTGTTTATGCCTGAATGCATTTTGCCCCCCACCAGGCTCCTTGTTCATCCTGTTGCTTCACCACACCTGAAGCTAACATTCAAATTTCTGAAAGGGTTTCCTGACCCTTTCAGATTATAGTAGCATGCATAGACTGTTTGGAGCACATTGCCACCAACCAGATGAATAGCTCGTGTGTTCATGTCTTTACACTCTGATAGTGTGACTGATAAAGCCGACAGGGCTCGCTGTCAGAATCATCACAACACATGTTTAATTTAAAAGGCCTCTTCAGTGCTGATGCAGACACTTCCCATCCAATCTGACGAAGCTTGAGAGGATCTGCCAGGAAGAATGGAATAAACTGCCCAAATCCATGTAGATGACTCAAAGCTGTGACTGCTGCCAAAGGGGCTTCAACACTGTGTTGAATAAAGAGTATGGAATACTTCTTGTAAATTAATTAGCAAAAATGACTATCAATAAGTTTTGTCATTATGAGTTATAAAGTGTAGACTGAAAATGTATCCATTAAAATTAAATCTACAATACAAACTAAAGGAGTCTGAATACATTATGATGCCAAAATACATTTAGCTTTTAGTGGTAAGATGTATTTCCCCTGTAACTTGTGTGAGAAATCTATCAGTGTCATATCTTCTGCAGATAGCGTTAGCTGCTTTGTGATAAAGCTGTTAAGCAGATTATCACACTATTTGACCTTAAGAGTTAACCTTTGTCAGTTTCCTTTCTGCTCAGTCCTGAGGCTCAGCACTTTTAGATGAAAAAATGTATTGAGGAAAACTACTCATTTGTGAATGTAGATTTCTAATGTTTCCATGAGAACACCCTACTTCTTGTACTTTTTGTAAATGTTATTAATGTCTACACAAAGTGTTTATCAGAGATAGGGGAAAGACAATAAATATCATCAGACGATCCCCTGGCGCAGGGGTGTCAAACTCAATAGCACAGCGGGCCAAAAGTCAAAGCGCACTTTCAGGTCGCGGGCCGATACAGGATAAAAATTTATTGAACAGACTTAAACTAAACATTTTTTGAACATAAATATGAATCGAAACAGACAGGATACAATATTATTCCAAAATAAATAAACTTGAACTTAAAATCATTCTGCTAAGGCTTGATGTTAATGTACATTTGTTATAAGATCACAAACATTATGCAGAGCTGCTTCCAACTGAAATGGAGACTCCTTTCCTTACAGGATGTAATTTCCTCTGTCCCCTGTGCTAAAGATAATACTCATGCCAAAAAACACAAGTTTTAAGGAAATAGGACCTAGACAAAGTTCATTAGTGAAGAAAACACAAGTCTGTCAAATTATCCCTGTGTGCACTGCATACCAAAGTGCTGTTATACACTTTTTTAGAGCTGATGTCTTAGGCAAGGAGGAATCATATTTGGTTTATTATAGTGCTGATGCTGGAAGATCTGTACTTTTTGGCTGAAGCAGCACTAATGTGTCATGTAGAAAATATGTGCTGACACAGGTAATCCTGTCTATGATGACAGCTTAGTGACCAATTTCTAAATCTTTTAATGCTGTCTATTAATTGTAAAAGGAGCAATTTACTTTCTAGAGGTCATTCTAGGATATCCTACTTTGTACTGGTATGTGTTTGGTGTGTTCTTCACCTTTGTACCATCTGGATTTGTCAGAAGACCACTGACGGTTACCACTCTTGTTGAAACAATATGGAAAGTGGATTTCCTGTTTTCAGGGTTCATTTAGGTGTAAAAGCACAGTATGAACCCATTATGTCAGCCTTTCTTCTGTTCTTTGGTTTCCAGGCAAATCTGTTCAAAAATCATTCAAACACTATACTTGGTACAACTGTCCAACAAGAATTTGATCCCTAACATTAGTGCTGTTCTTTGATATGATCGCCTGATGAAATTGGTGGTATCCATGACCACATGAGCCCGGTGGACCAGATCAGTGGATGTGGTTAATGAGGTGTTATAACACTGGGTTAATTTTCAACCTTGAACATATGTTGAAACTGCAAACGAGACATAACTGTTGGTACACATTAGCAAAAAGCTTTCACTGCAATCACTGGAAATGCCAGCATGATAATGATCAAATGAACTGACTGTAATTCTTTGTTAGGAAATTTATTGCATGGTTGTTAATTTTACACAGAGTTGATTCAATTTTTGTGTGACATAAAACTACAAATGCTTCTATACATTGTTTTTTTTGTCTTTAAACAGGCAGCCATGCAAACCTATGACAATAAGGGGGCTGATGTCTACACCCATGCTAGTGCTGGACAAATGAATGGCACAGAGTCAACCAGGATGAAAGAAGTAGCTTTTGAAAAGAATCCTTCAGAGCCAATGGTATAGTATCTGCCTATACACACACACAAACAAACATTTTTAAATTTCTAAATTTGTCTCACTCATTCTTCCTCATTTACTGTGATGTTTGCCTGCAGGGGGTCACGCTGAAGCTGAATGATAAACAAAGGTGCACTGTAGCCCGAATATTGCATGGGGGCATGATACACAAGCAAGGTAATTAAACACATCTTGATTTAAGATGAGTGTTAGAAAGTATGTTCTGTACACAAAAGTGTATTTGTCCTGCTCTCAGGCTAGTTGGGCTGTAAAATGGTTCTTAAATTATTCAAGTTAGTATGTTTTAAACATAGATAACATATTGTTCACATAATGTCTGGTGTATTTTGAGGTTTGGTTTGGTTTCAGTAGCCATTTTATGCATGGTTCATTTTCTTGTTTTTAAGGCTTTTAAAAAAAAATCTTATCTTAATATTCAGTATCTGCTAGTATAGAGACTGAGCTGGAGTTTCTCCACTTGCCATGGTTGATTTTCTCTCCAGGGTCCTTACATGAAGGGGATGAAATAGCAGAAATAAACGGGAGAAGTGTGGCAAACCAAACTGTAGACCAGCTACAAAAGATTCTAGTAAGTTGATACCTCATAGCCTTAACCTTTTCTTAACAAACAATAATTTTGACACTAAAGAAAGTGCTAACTTTTATTTTATTTCACTTATGAGGTTAAATAAGTGTAAATCTGTGTCATCTTCACATACAGAAAGAAACCAGTGGAGTAGTCACTATGAAGATCATTCCCAGCCTGCAGAGTCGATCTCAAATCTGTGAGGTAATAACATTACCTGCATTGGTTTTGTGGTGCCTGTTACTTCTGTTCTGAGAGAATTCCGATTCTCATACTCAACCACTTCAAACCCCTTTAAATTTGCATGAATAAGCCAAGAAAAAGAGCTTTCCATTTAGACTGGACACCAGTAAAAAAAAAAAATGAGTGTGCTTGCATTTTTACCAGTCTATCTGTCTTTCTACAACCTACTTTTAAAAAGGATTTTGTCCTTTATTAGGTGAATCTTCTGTTAGTCAGTGAACAACCCAGGTGACTATAAAATTAGTTCAAATGTAACGAACATCACTCACATTAGTTTTGCTATATGAATTTGAAACACTTTGGTAGCGTGTTTCATTCTGCCATCTACTGGCCCCAACAGTTTTCTCCAGCATCATTCCTGTGCCCCCTGCCATTAAAATGGCTTAAAATGGCTGCTGGCTTTTCAGGTGCTATTGACATCAACCAATAGTTTTAGTATAATATAATATGAATTTTAAAATAATTTTAATTGAATGAACCCAAAGATAAAAAATGCATTGTTTTCAGTAATGTTATTCTTGTCTTAATACAATTTAAGCTCTGTCTTTGCTGAGGTCAGTGATGGCAGTCATCTTAAAAGCTTGTAGTCCATTAATACATAGGCTTCCACTTTGCATACTGCACAAGGAACATTATTTTTGGTGACCCACACTTCTCAAGTACACCCACTTTCACCCACTATTTTTGTGTGTATCACTGGAGTGACTTGAGGAAACCCCAAATGTTTGTGAGCATTTAACCTGTGGAGAAATTACATGAGTTCCTGCTGTGATCTTTGAGAGTTTAGTCAAGATTTGCTTTGTAGATAAGATGATCTCTCTCAGAACTTTTATTCGGGACATTTACTTAGATTTGCTCACCTTACATGCTAATCCAAGGTATTAATCAACTTTCTGCAGCTGGACAATCAACAGCAATTAATTATTATTTTTAATAGGAAACCAAATCAGCCAATTTTTGCAATTTGAACGGCACTGTCCAAGATCATATCATGAACCTTTTTTAATTTGGGTGCAATTCCCAATGAACATTGTAGAATCCAAATATGGGGTTGCATCGGAAAGTATCCAGACCCCTTAACTTTTTGCATGCTTTGTATTGTATATGTAATTTTCAATTAGTAAAACTGCCATTTTCACCCATTAATCTCACTCAATAACTCATAATGACAATGTGAAAGTTCTGTCAGATTGGATAGGAAGTGTCTGAACTGCCACCTTCAGGTGTCTTCACAGTTCTGTGGGGTTTATTTCTGGGCTTTGGCTCAGCCACTCAGAGACAGTCAGAGACTTGTCCTGAAGCCACTTCAGTGTTGTCTTGGCTGTCTGCTTCAGGTCACTGCTGTGCTGAAAGGTGAACTGTCACTGCTGTCTTAAGTCATGTGCACTCTGGAGCAGGTTTTCTTCAAGGGCCTCTGTGTTTGACTGCATTCATCCTTCCCTCATTTCTGACCTGCCTTCCCTGTACCTGCTGCTGAGAAGTATAGTATGATACTGCCACAAACATGTTTCATTATAGGGATAGTATGATCCTGGTGGTGAGCAATGCCTGGTGTCCAGACATACTGTACTACTTGGAGTTCTGCCAAAAAAGTTACATTTTGATCTCATAAGACCAGAAAATCTTGTCCCTCATGCTGTCAGAGTCCTTCAAATACTATTTGGCAGCATGCAGGTAGGCCATCACAGGCCTTTTTGTCAAAGTGGCTTCTGTGTAGCCACTTTACTATTAAGGACTGATTGATGGACAGCTGTTGAGATGACCATCCTTCTCCTATCTCTGCAGAGAACTTCTGAAGCTCCTAGAAACACTCTAAGCATTATAAATAGTTTTGTAGCTTTGCCCTGATCTATGTCTTACCAAAAGGTTATCACAGGTCTGCAGAGAGGTCCTTGCTTGGTTTTTGTCTTGACACACTGTGAACTGTGGGGCATATACACAGGTGTGCACCTTTCTAAACCATGTCAAGTCACTTTGTCATACTAGACACATCTCAGTGATAATTAATATGAACAAGATGCATGTGAATACAGTTTAGAATACCTCAGCAAAGGCTCTGAATACTTTTGTAAATGAGACATTCTGGTATTGATTTTCAGAACATTTGTCAAAATTTCCAAGGACAGTGGCAATTATACAATTTAAAAATAGCATATATAATACAATAAAATATGCAAAACAGTGGCCTGAACACTTTCTGAAATCACTGTATTCAACAACATGAGTGTATTTTGTACTGCTGATACTGCAGTTGTCATCAAGCTGTTAACAGCTTCAGGTGCATTATTACATTACTCAGTTTGCACATGCATAATTGCACATTGACTGTTGACTGCTGCACATGCTGCTCCCATGCAGCATACATTCTCTATTATATTCTTATATATTTTTTATTATATTGCTGCATTTGCTGCTTAAAGTGCCTTAGATTTTGTGTTACTTATTTATCTACTTTATATTTCACTTGTATTTTTGTGGCATTCGTGTGGACGGCAAAGTAAGAATTTCATTGTACAGGAAAACACGCTTCCTAACTGTGCATATGACAAATTAACACTTTGACTTTTAACATATGGAAATCCATGTGAGCAAGATTGGGATTTTAAACCCATACACTACAGATGTATCACTTTTCATAGTCTAAATGTTTCCAGGAAACAAAATGTAGAATATTTCAGTTAAAGTTTTGAATGAGCCTCTTCTACATCCACAGTATAATTAATGACCTTCATGACCTTTAGACTGACTAAAGTATTTATTGGTGTATTAGCCATGAGCTGCAAAATATCTGATCCTTTTACAACAATTAGTGATGAACATTTACAAAGAATCACAGGCATGCTCAGCAAGCATCTGGCTAGCAGCATGTCATTTCTTACAACAGATGGACGTTGTTCACTATCATTTGTGTTTCAAGGTCAGAAAGGTAGCTGGAACTTTGAGCAGCACAAATATTCTATATTAGAGACTATATTTACAGCTAGCCTATAGCAAGTGATGGGAAATTATTAAACACACTGATAAGGTCTACAGGTAGTGAGTAGATCTTGATTAGTCTACTGATTAGTTCCTTCCTAACTTTCAAATTCTTAATCTGTAGATGTACGTGAGGGCACAGTTTGACTATGACCCCACCAAGGATGACCTCATCCCATGCAAAGAGGCAGGTCTGAGGTTTCAAACTGGTGACATCATTCAGATCATCAACAAGCAGGATCCGAACTGGTGGCAAGGCAGAGTGGAGAGTAGTGCTGCTGACTTCGCTGGACTGATCCCCTCCCCAGAGCTCCAAGAGTGGTAAACACCTCCGTCATACTATCTGATGATTAATCCTCAAGTACAGCATCACATGCCAAAACCTCATAATTGTGCGTAACATAAATTCTCGTTCTCACTGCAGGAGGGTGGCAAGTAAAAGCAAGTCCAAAGTGGACAGTCAGTCGTGCAGTCCATTTGGAAAGAAAAAGAAGTGCAAAGACAAGTATCTGGCTAAACACAGCTCTAGTGAGTGTAACATTGGAATCACATTTCAGGGGCTTTCTCTCACATATGGTTTAGTCTGAAATAAAATCTCTTCTTTTGTAGTTTTTGACCAGCTGGATGTGATTTCTTATGAGGAGGTTGTTCAGCTCCCTGCATTTAAAAGGAAAACACTGGTGCTTGTTGGTAAGCTTCACAGCTATATTATATTATTTATTATTTCTGAAAAACTCAAGCATATGCTTATGGAACTTTGTTGTCACAGTTTATCTCAAAGTATGTTGTAATTTAGTGTAATTGTTACAAATCTTGTAAATGTACAGAACGCTATTACAACCTTAAAATGTGAATATGTAATGATTATCTGGAACAGATTTTAGGTCTTTGTATGAAAAGGTCAGACATGACACTCAGAATGTCATATTTTATCAGATGTCCTCAGTGCATTACCCCCCACTTAAGCAAAGTAGTGGGTTGTTCAGACATGAAGGTTATTATTAGATTAAAATGTCCCTGGAAGTAAAAGTCCTCCTTTTTTCAGGTGCACCTGGTGTAGGAAGGAGTCATATCAAAAATGCGCTTTTGACAAAATATCCAGAAAAATTTTCCTACCCTGTCACACGTAAGTACACTCACTCTTCATCTTATTTTTTATTCCAAGAGTTAAATTTGCCAAATCGTCCTTTTGATTATACACAGACACCACCAGACCCCAACGTAAGGATGAGGAGAATGGACAGGAATATTATTTCATCTCCAGTGAAGCCATGACCAAGTGCATCTCTGGGAATGAACTGCTGGAGTATGGCAGCTTTCAGGGATATATGTTTGGTACCAAAATTGAAACCATCCAGAAGATCCACGAGCAGGGAAAAGTCACTGTGCTGGATGTAGAACCACAGGTTGGCATTTGCAGACTTTCCTGGAAATTGTTTTTTAGTTTGAAGGATGGGTTCACAGTTTTCCAAGTCAACAGGCACATGCCCATACACAGAAACCTTTTTGCATGCTGTAATTTATCTCCATGTTCTATAAAAGATCTTTTCTTTTTGTTTTTCTGCAGACGATATGTCCATGCTGATAATAGAACATTTGTTATATATAATTCTTAAAATATTTCTTTCATAAAAATATAATGCAGAAACAGGCTTAATGCAGACTGTAGGTAACGGCATAACAAAAGTATTTACTGTGTATGTTTATCAAGATGTAATAATGCAAAAAAATACACAGTTCTCTCAAAATGAGCTCAGAGTAAATTGCTCAAAAACGTAACCTCTCCCTTTTATGAGTTCTCCGTACAAGGTAACAACATGAGGACTAATTCAAAATAAATTAATTATATCATCTATTTCCTCATTACCTCCTATAAGCTTTATTAATTTATTTACTTGCTTACTGTTAATGCAGACCCTGAAAGTGTTGCGGACTGCTGATTTTGCACCTCTGGTTGTGTTCATCGCTCCGACCAAGATAGCTCCTCAGGTGCCATATTTTTGTCTGAATATGCATAAATAACCTGAAACAGTAAACTCCCATCTGATACCATCAGCTAATTCTGTGTCCTGTGTCCCAGACGGAAAACCTGCAGATGATCCAAAAAGAGTCAGACGCCATTCAGACCACATATGGACACTTCTTTGATGTGGTCCTTGTCAACAACGATGTAGATGAAAGCGTGAAAGGTGTGGAGGAGGCCATGGAGCATGCCACCTCCACCCCGCAGTGGGTGCCTGTGTCATGGGTCTACTAACAGCTGTCTGGCAGCGGTTTAATACCTTGTGTTGAAAAGCAGTGCAATATCACTCCTTACGCAAAACCTCTCAGTTAGTGACATCACAGGTGGCATAGGTTTACTTTTTGGTTAAAGTTGATTGTCACTGAGAATTTTTGCACAAATGCATCCAAAAAATAAGCAATATATATTTTAGACAGTTGAGGACCTCACCGGGGCTTTTTTATTTGGCTGTTTAGACTTCTGAGCTTTAAGCTTTTAAGGAGTAAGAGATGTTTTGCTGCCCCACACCTTTGTGATTGCTGGAACTTGAGCAAATGCAAAATAGGACCACAACTGTGAATGAAATCCTCCATTTTAAAAGACAGGATTTTATCATGTAAAACACTGACTCTGGATTCATTGTCTTTCTCTCTTCCCGTTAGGTTATGCCATAAAATTGAGATGATGAAATTAGTGTTCAAACATTATGTGTATGTCTTTAGAGGGGTAGTGTCCACCACACAAAACCTTTCAGTCAGTAATACTCGTCTTCATCTTTGTCTCATCTCATCAAAACTGTATACCTCATGGGGTACTGTAATTGCACTTTTAAACAGAAAATAAATTTCCCTGTTCTGTTGCGACTGCTTCTTTGACTGTGTTTCATATGGAAACCTGTACTTCAGAGCCCTTAAGGATAACTACAGTAAGACAGTGTTTTATCAATGGGAACATTTCCTAAGTGCAGAAAAATTCCTTCCACTAGATCCACATAAGACAAGAAAACAGATGGCAATATCAACGATGAGCAAATCCAGGAGTCTTAACTGAAAAAAGGTAGATATTTATATGTTCACTGTTTTGAGTAACATTTTATCAGTTTGTCCAGAGTGTATTTTATGTTTGCCGTCTATGTGGTTCATCATGTTTGAGCACAATATTCCATACTTTGAATCTCTCAGCTAATTTTTTTTTAAAAAGGGACTATGGAGTAGAGAAATTATGGGGGCAGGCTCCTGAGGCACCTGCGTCAGAATTGCAGAAGAAGTTATGGCTCAAGGCTTTGATCATTTATGAATCAAACCCTGTGTGTTTGAGCTGAGCTAATGTATTCCCCACACTGCAGTGCCTCTTTCATCCACACTGTGGTACGCATAGTCACAGTTTAGAGATGAAAATGGATTTGTCCACAGCTTTTATGCAGAATGCCTTTGTGCAGTTTCCCAGTAGCACTGTCAGAATTATGTACTTAAAAAAATATCCTTTTGTGTTTTGTTCCTTACATCTAATTTCAAGTGAACAAATACACAATCTAAACTCATTCACTTAGTATACATTTTCTGTATTTAACCTGTAAATTGAATATATAAAGACATGTTAATATGTTCATTGGCTAGCTAAATTCAACAGTTGATCAGGCAAATTGAGCATTTACACCTTTTTGGTGTTGTGTGCTAAAGTCTTGGTCTGGCAGAAAACAGATCTGCAATGACGAGATGTAGTAGTTTTCCCAAATCTCTAAATTTAATCCAAATTTATTTTTTGCCTACAATCACAGCTCTTAAGTTTGGAAGGCAGGAACAAAGGATGACAAAAGAAACTTTTAAAGATGACAAAAGAAAGTTTTAAATAATCAGCTAATTAGAATTGTGTTTCTATATCATGCTTATTGAATAAAAACTGTTAAAATGCCCAACAAACAATCCAATAAAATGTTTACACAAAATTATAGATTTTCTTAAGAGCTCTAGAGAGAGGTTTAGCTAAATCAGCACACAAGCCACAGACCAAAGGATTTTGCATTCAAACCAGAATCCACCAGATGTTGTCATTGGATCAACGCTGTCTTATGGTGCCACCAAGTGGTTGTGTCAACACAAGCACTACTGTGAGAATATACTGCATGCTATGTTCTCTCTGGACTACATCCCTTTCTGGAAACACACATGCATAGATTGTGCATACAGTGTTCAGAAGACAGTTTGTCAGTTCAGCAAAATTATTGACTCGAATCAACAAATAAATTAGAAGCAAATACACATATCCAACTCGATGGTTTGCCTGAGATAATAGCTAAGACTTCTGGAGTTTTCTGAACTAATGGTAAAAAAATAGAATTTGCATTTAGGTTTATGTACATTCAGCCATGTTGCCCATTTGCCAATGTAGTAAACTCTCCTCTAATAATCCTACACTCAACTGCATTGTTTCACTGTTGATATGGTGTCTGTGGTGCCCTGTGATTCATCTATCCCAACAAATCCTGAGGATGAGCTTAGGTAGACTACAGTACTACTAGTATTGCGGTACATACACATGCGTTTAGTGTAGAAACACATAAAGCAACCTACAACCTTGTTTTGAACACTGCTGTAGTTTTTATTATTTCCCACTGATGAGAATGTGATATATCAGTAGTCAAACTTCAGTATATATGCAGTGGATATTATGCAAGGAATGAAAGGAGACAAGTGATTTAGCCTTTTGCTAAAAAAAAGTAACTACTGCAAAAAGTGTGGGTGCAGCTGGTGGACTTACCAACTCTTGTGATATCAGCCTATTTAATTTATTAAGACTGAGGTATCAAGTGGGGTCGAGCTTTAGTACTGTAGGTTCATTATGTACACCGAATTTATATTTGAGTGACTCGAGTTAACCTGACTAACCTCCAGTTTTTATTATTTACCATCATAAACACTTGGGTATTAACAAATGTATGCATTAAAGTTCACCCCACTACATCCATGATTATGCAACATTTTTCATGAGGCTCAATGTATTCATGCATTCAAAAATCCTTCTAAGCATTTTTAATCTGTTTTATAAAAATCTAGACCAACAAGTATTGCTCCAATAATAATCAGGTCAAGGATCTATACATAGCCATTTATTGTCCAAATATTTATTTATCTTACAAGCATGTTGGTGAGGCTTTGTCACAGGAAATGGGGCCAGAGGTTTTTAGAAAAAAAGCACAGTTGATGTGCAGATTATTGGTTGGCTCCTGTAGTCAGAAATAGTTGTTTCTGACATTTCTGAAATTCAACAAATTTTATTGTTGGTAATAAAGCATAATTCAGCAAACAAATAAACAAACAAAAAACATTTAAAACAAACATTTGCATACGGACCCTGACTGGCACAGGTTAATCTGGTCAACCATCACAAATATTGCCAATATCAAAAAATCTGTCACCATTACATCATAATCATGAGAAATGTAAGCAAGTGAGAATGTAATTATCTATTTGAAAGAACACTTACATCTATTCTCCATTTATATCTAATGAGTCATAGTTTTTCTTTTACTTTGAGAAGCACAAGGAAAAATTATGGTGTAAGTGCTGATAACATATACCTTAAAAGACGCCATACTGAGTCTTCACAGTATTACAGTAAGTCACACTACAATTTACAGTACTATGCCTAATGCAGATTAATACCAGCCTGAAATAAGAGTGAAACCTTTTTGCTCCAACAAAAGGATGCTTTCAGGTGGATTTACTGTCATCACTATTCGTATTTACTAGGAATAATAACCAGACTGCGAAGCTCGCCACACCCCTTCTTGATGAACGCCATTTTGTGACTGAGACTTGCAGTCAATGTACCCTCCTTTAGAGATGCTTTAAATCCAAGCATGGCTATGATATTTTATGTCTGTAAAGGAAACACACGTAGAGCCCCAGTAACGACACCTGCAGAAAAAAGAACGCTGTCCCGAGTATTAACACTGTGTGTTTGAAGTCGGTCACCCATTTAAACATGAAACTCGCCGCGTCAGAGAGCCATCTTTGTCCACCTAATCCAGGCGGCTGTTTATTACACCCTCATTACTGCACGGACTCTGACAGCGCCAGGCTCTAGTATAATAGCCCGCAGGTGCCGCATCGCCTTAGAAATATCGAGAGTAAAAGGGGTGGTTTAGCGAGAGGACACATCTCAGAGGCAGATACAAGCCAGTGCTCCTCCTAGGCTATATAGGCAGGGAAACGCCACAGTAACTAGCTGAAGGGTGCCAGAGGGGAGAGAGGATCACAGAAGGCAATCCACATCCGTCTGCCAACCGCTTGGTACGCGCTAACATCCCCAGTCCGGATTTCAGTCCAGCTGTCTAGTCAATAATACCAAGAAAATGTAAGTAGAACATTTTAAAGCTCTGTTTTGAAATCCTGACTATTAATGAATTCCAGTTCTGTCCTCACGACTTGATGTGGAAGGCTGCGTGGGATGGATGTTGTCTGAATGGTTTCTTGTGTTTCTTTGCCATCAGATGTTGAGTTTATTTCACTGTGCCATGTTAATCAGCATATCCTTGCTTTTATATTGGTGATGAATTAAATTTCACAGCTCAATTTCTATGATAATGTCACCCAACACGTAGGCCTAACCTTGTAGCAGATGGAGGCATCGGATTTAGCTCATGTTAAACACGTTACTGGCCTTATTTCTGGCGTTTGCACGGTAAATGAACTCCTTTTTATCCGTTTCTTTATTATGTTGTCCTCTGGTGGTTGTCACTTGGGCCAGAACACACGCATTTTTCCAGTTTAGACTGGTTCGAAGTGAAAAGGACACCGTCTGTGCGACTAATAGCAGGCAAATTAAAACGGCTGAATTTCTTAAAGAAAAGAAGCTGTTACAGCATTGTCAGGCGGTCTATTTAGGCCTACTGTCGATAGCCTGTTGAACAGTTACACCTTAGACATTATTCGACGGTTACTCTATAGACCTTCTTATAGACGCTGACATCCCGAGCTCTGAGTTAGGCTTGGGCCTAGTTTACGTGACATTTGCAACCTACATCTGGGGGTGGGGATAGCATAGCCTCCTACTGTATGTCGTCGATGGTCGTGCGAGGGCGGACAGCTATATCTCACCATATCTCAGAGTGTTGGGTTAACGGGGCCGAATGTATGTCTTCCTGTCTTTTATTTGTTCATTTGTTTTCGACTGCACATGATGCAAATAGCGTATATAAGACAGGCTAAGGAAAGATAGCAGCCACAACCTCATCCGTCAGTTCTTGAAAGCAGCGGGTCAAAACATTGAATCACACGACACGTCGTGAAACAGTGGGAACATGGCTGTTAACATCCCCTCTGTTGAGTAAACGTTAAGTTTGTCACTAAAACTCGGTTCTAATCCTTCATCCAAGTGCATAAAATCCATAAGGAGCCTCCCCGCCCTCGACGGTAGGCTTCCACTGTATTTACACGCCCGTCGTGCTCTTCATGAAACGTGATGCATAATGTAGGCCTTGTGGTGTTTGAGTAGCTATAAGGTCAGGAATGAAAGAAGAAGCAGTGTGTGTTGTGGGTCAGGAACCCGTTCAGTTCAAACAGAACAGGGTGACGAGGCTGGGATTATACGGTCTGTGATCCGAGCTGCTGTGGCGCTGTCCAGTGCTGAAACGACGCTGTCCAGTTCTGAAAGGCGGACACTGCTTCTCCAGAACAGCGAGGTCCATTAGACCAGGGACATCATTCTGTTTTTGTGGTATAATGTATAGTGTCATGTGGTATAATAATATTCTATTTATCTATCTATCTCTCTCTCTCTCTCTCTCTCTCTCTCTTGAAAAGCATGCATTCAATTTATCAACTCCATGTGAAAGTGAAGTGGCAGATTAAATGCAGGTCCCCCACCTTTCTGTGGAGGTTCCAGTTTGACCCTCCATAGAACACAGTGGGCAGTAGTCCCAAGATGTGGAAGCTGGTGAGAAATGTTGTCATTCCATTAGCAGCTCTTCCTGGTTCGTTGGACTGTCAATTCAGAGGTGATGACAGCATGAACCTCTGCTCAAATTACATCTTTGTGGAAATACTTCTGCTTGCCAGTGAAAAGCATGCATTCAATTTATCAATTTATCAACTCAGAATATTATTATACCACATGACACTATACATTATACCACAAAAACAGAATGATGTCCCTGGTCTAATGGACCTTGCTGTTCTGGAGAAGCAGTGTCCGCCTTTCAGAACTGGTTAATTATATTAATTAGATGGAACATTGTGGGTGTGGTGTATGAATGTTAACACTGTAATAATTTTTTAGTATATTACTTGTGTGGTGTAGAAGATAAGTATTTAAGAATGTAATTATGTAAGAATGTTAACACTCTGTTATAATTTTGTAGTATATTACTTGTGTGGTGTAGAAGAGAATTATCTATGTAGAGATACTGCTTGCAAACCAATGATGGTAAGATGATGTCATGGGGTAGGACTGGATAAGTCTGACTTCTTCCTACTCCATTCAAGCATGTACTAGGTATAAACAAATTGATATTGGATTAGCATTTGTTGGATATGTGTAAAATTATGTGTGTTGACATATCAACTGTCTTTACATGCTTGAAAGAATAAATCAAATCAAATCAAAATCAAAGAATACATTATTTGCACAGAGTTTACCATTGTACTATTTCTATTAGATTTTAATTATTGATTTAATTTGTACTGATAAATAGCAATAGTAATGATAATCTAAAATAATGATTAAATTAATGTAAGTTTTACAATGCTGAGCTACTCCACACTATTTGCAAAATTTAAGTGTTTTAAGGCTTGCAAACAGGTTTCATAGGCAGATATTGGGGGTAAGGTCATATTAGAGCTTCGCGATTAATCAATGTTATCGATTAATTCGAATTTATGTTTTATGTCGATGTTGAAAAACAAATATCGATTTTCACAATTTTACTTTGGTTTGCGACCTTCCGTAGTTCTGCAACGCCCCCGCCCTCCTGTGATTCACACTACAACAACTACAACATGGCAGCGTGCTCCGGAGAATTTTTTTCCAAGAGAGGCACGGTTTCTTCCGTCATATGGAAATGGTTCGGGTTTGCAAGTTCAGACCTTGAACAAGCTAAACCCCGCTGTAAAATATGCCAGAAGTATGTGGCAACTAAAGGAAGCAGCATGACGAATTTATTCCAGCACCTCAAACAAAACCACATTGCTGAATGGGAGGCATGTGTGGTGCTGCGAGCTAATGCTAAACAAGATAGCAGCAGCTACAAAACACCGGCTAAAAAGCATGTAACAATAGCAGCCTCATTTTTCCACCAGGAAGCAACATGAGGCAAACTTTCCAAGGCTTAGTAATCTGGCCAAGAAGTACCTCTCTATTCCTGCTACGAGTGCCCCATCAGAGAGGGTCTTTAGTGTGGGTGGAGGCATTGTAACATGCCACAGGGCATGTGTCAAGCCTGATGCAGTGGACAGGCTTGTGTTCCTTGCTAAAAACCTGTAAAATTCTGTGAGGCAGTAAGTTCCATGTTGAACTTGTTTACAAAGTTTTTCTTCAGGGAATTTTTTTCCAGGTGATAATTTATTTTATAAAAAGTTATTTAAGTACTTTGCAAATCCCTCATATTTTGTTATATTTTTAAATGTTTTTTGCTAGAATAACCAGAACTTGTAGAGACTGGTGAAAGTTTGCACTTTATTAATCCCAAAGAAGGTTATGTTGTTGTATTGATTATTGGTTTTCTAAAATAACAAAACTTGTTAGCGAAAGTAAGTTTGCATTATACACTTTTAGTCCAAATAAGTCCAACTGGCTGGGATTGGCTCCAGCCCCCCGTGACCCCGTTTGGGACTAAGCGGTTTAGAAAATGGATGGATGGATGGATGGTCCAAATAAGCATTTCATATGTTTGGTTATATTGTTTTTGCTCAAATTAAAAAAAAATCTATCTTATAATCTTTAGTGTCTTAATTTAAAAAAAAAAGAAAAATAATCGGTTTAAAATCGAAAATCAAATTTTGTCTCAAAAAAATCGGAGATTCAATTTGTAGGTCATATCGCCCAGCTCTAGGTCATATTAATACAAGCGAGGATAATTATACTGCAACTTGTTCAAAGTTATTTGGGACTATCTGATTTTTCATTGTATTTTTCATGATTACTGTAAATTACTGTGAGAAACAATACTGTCTTTTGTCGTAGTCATACCTGCTGTCTGCATTTCAGCGAGGACATGCAGGGTTAAATGATCACTTTACTGGAACATGTATCATTACAATCAGACTACTTTGTTTATGGTTTTCCAAATACACCTTGTGGAAATAGCAAATATCAATTTAAAAAAGTCTGTAAAAATGTGGCAACCAATAAAACGTTCTTACAAGTTAGAAATAGTGATGATGGAGTATGCAATTAGCATCAACAAAAACTCATTTTAGTCTCAGACTAAAACAAAACTAAGAGATATTATTTGAAAAATGTCAATTGTAGAATTTGGGTCAGTCCTTGTCCTTGAGGACAACCCCACTATGTCCAGGAATGAAATTAAACACATGTACTGATGCATTTTAAAAGACAAAATGCTTTAAAAAGTGCCTTTATAGGATACATTTTCCTGCTAGTAATAGTGTCATTTGATTTAGTAGGTCTTCACTGATAAGTATTCATTTAAGATTTACACAATCAACAACAGGATTGTGATGGAATAGGATTCATATTTAATATCCATCCATCCATCCATCCATTTTCCTCCGCTTATCTGGAACCGGGTTGCAGGGGCAACAGTCTAAGCAAAGATGCCCAGACTTCCCTCTCTCCAGACACTTCCTCCAGCTCCTCCGGGGGAATACCGAGGCGTTTCCAGGCCAGTCGAAAGACATAGTCCCTCCAACGTGTCCTGGGTCTTCCCCGGGGCCTCCTCCCGGTGGGACATGCTTGGAACACCTCCCTAGGAAGGCGCCCAGGAGGCATCCGAAACAGATGCCCGAGCCACCTCAGCTGGCTCCTCTCGATGTGGAGGGGCAGCAGT